ACCTATATCCATTTTACGAAAAAGGTAAGAACTTCAACTTCTAATACAAAATTATTAATTATGCTATGGGAAAGTATATATGTACTAATTATGATGACATACTAGTATTTTTATATCATTGTCCCTTTTTCTATACACGTATTTAAGAACAATACAATAGCTTCGATGCAAGGAAATACTTTTTTAAAAAATTTCATAGAAGCAAGGTATAGTTACATTAAGCGGCTGAATATTCTATAAATAGATAGGATTGATCTTTAAATGTCAACATTTCATTGCTTAATAGCTCCTTTACATAGGCGTCGAAACCGGGGGGCTAGAGGGGGGTAAGCACCCTCCCCCACTTTTTTTTGCAAAGATAGACATTATATAGGCATTGAAAATTGAGGAACACTCCTTTAATGTTGGTTTAGCAACCCCCCCCCCCCCCATTTTCAATCTGCTTTCGATGCCAATGCTTTAAACGTTTTGAGTTCAAACAGGGTAAAGATTCACAGTCTCGTGAAGGTTACTATATTCTTATCAAAGTAGAAAATGCATATTAGGATTTGTGGAGCAATTTCATGAATCTTCCGAATTTTCTTCTAATAATTATATATTATGAATGCAAAAAATAGTTAAAATGCGCCCTTGTGCCAACGCTGTTTTGTTGAAATCTATTTTTATTCGTGTAGTACAGGATAATTACATCATGATATAACATTATGCGTAATGGCTATGACACATTAAGGATATAAAGGGTTTAAAAGAAAATGAATTGAACTTTTCCTGTATAAAGTATATTTTTATAATTAATTTTAGTTAGTTCATTTCAAAATTATACACCTATTCACTGTGGACAATATGGAGACGATATCAAGTTTATTATCCCCCAATTTAACGAGGCCCAACAGTTGATGTCGACGGGGACAAAAAACTTCTCATTGTTTAAAAAGTCAGTAAATAGTCGTTGCTTTACACCGAAACCGGCTTTATTTTATTACATCACAAGTCGTGTTCGTCACAATGCCACAAACTCAATAGGCAAAAGACATTGCCTAGAACTTATACCTGAGATTTTCTTAGCCAATTTGTTTTCCTAATATGATTGAGATGTAGTTGTACATAGATCCACTTGAGGAAGAAATGTATAGGTTAAATGAATAAATTAATTATTTTTCTAATGTACAAATGTAATTGTATCGATAAGTAAATAAGTTTTAGAATTTAATATAACTCGCGGATATGAAAGGATGTAGAAATATGATTGATTGATTGTATATTGTTTAACGTCTCTCTCGAGAATTTTTCACTCATATTGAGACGTCACCGTATGCCGGTGAAGGGCTTCAAATTTTTACCTTTACTCGGCACTTAGGGTCATTGAGCAGTGACTGATCTTTATCATGCCAACGCCTGCCGCTGACACGGAGCCTCGGTTTTTAAGGTGTCATCCGAAGGACCCGCAACTGTTCACTTCAAAGTGCCGAGCGCATGGCGAAGGAACAGTCGCTACCCATTTTTTATCGACTTAGGTCAGTTGCGGCCGAGATTCGAACTCACGACCTCCCGATCACAGGTGTAGAAATAGTAATACATTTAACAACGATGGCTTTTCTTCTTCCTTACATGTAGTATGCCCTATGAATATCTGAATTTTTGGACAACATATATACTGTCAGATTATCTATTAAAGTCATGTGATATTTATACTTGTATTTATAAGTGTAAATAAAAATATCCCTTGACATTTTGTTTTCATTGTTCTGTTTTTGAAATATGTCAGCTAAAGTACTCTGTCATCCTTGTAAAGAATGTACTTCTAATCTTAAGAAATGGCTCACATATCAACTCAAAACCTTTAAAATACTTGTCAATAAAAAAAGCAATAATAAATTCAGAGGCCAATATTGTTTACCATTGTACGATGATGGATGTCTTTCTTGATACTAATTCGAATTCAATATCAATGACTTGTTATATACATTCATCTTTTCAAACAATCCATACCAATGATTTTTCTAGTCGCATACTTTGTTATGTCCACCAAGTATGTCGTTGATGATGGGTTGTTTATGATTCCTGATATTACTTCCGCAATTTTCACTGCTGTGCTCGCTTTTATATTCTTTCGAATAGTGAAAAAAAAACATTTTTCAAATTTCATACAATGCTCTTGAAGTAGGTAGAAAATGCAATACCGATTTTTGAATAATCAATTAGAATTGATGACCTTGAATAATAAGAATAAACAAAGAACATGGTTCACTTTTGCCTTATTTGGCCCTCTGAGTTTCTGAAAAACTGAAACTGCATAGTTTTAGTTAACAATGCATTGAATAGCACTTAGATGTTTGGTGACTGCGTATCTATAAAAAATGACGTGATTTTCTGGCTAGTAAATGCATTATGACGTCTCAAAATGCGTCAATTTCCCCATATTCTGAAAAAAGTCTGCAAAAACGGACAATTTTTCAAGGTATGTTTCTATATTTAATATAGAGCGCAACCGCTGATCTAGTTAAAATTACAAATGGAAATATCGGCGATTTTCTAAGATGAAAAATACATACTTTATTAGGATGGGCGATTCTTTTGAAGGACTTCACTGATATAAAAAAAAAAACGTAATATGGTTTAAATCTACATGTTGGGGACATATAATTTTTTTATTTAGACTTGTCATGTGATGTCGACATCACATGGTTAAAGCAATTATACTTGCAGTTTAGAGGTCATCTATAAATTCCAATATTGCAAGGGAGTAACCAAGTTAAGAATCTTAGTTTAATTTATAATCCTTTTCAACACAATACGTAATTTTTGAAAAGTGCTGCGAACCTATATGGCTTCCCTCTTTAAATTGCTAAAATTTAATTTGTTGGACGGCAGGTTGAATGTTCTCTGGTCAACTACATGAAATATAGCTACAATTAATTTATTTGCAAGATTTCATGAGGTTCGCAGTACTTTTCAAATATCTTAATGCTTCTTGAGTTTATGTATAAAAATTTGACAAGATACATTGAGGGTATGCCCTTGCAAAAAATTGATTTATTAGGGCCCTTCCATTACTTTTTCAATGAATCTGCATACAAACACGCGACAGTATCACTTGTCTGGAGAATATACGTACAGTTATAAAATATCAAAATAGACATCGCATCCAAGTTAACAGCCTTTTATTTAACTGCAAATAATATTTAATTTGAGAACAAAAGACATATTTCATTGTACAAAATGTGACTCGATCAGCCTTTCACTGTGTACAAACTGCGTCATTTTTGCGAGATGATGTCACATTGACAAGTACATTGCAATCGATGCATCGTTTATATACTGTTGTTTTGGATTTAAAAGACGACGAAACTGCATGTATTAGTAAGCTTTTATGTAGTATACAGTTATCCAGCTTTTTGAAATAGCAAATAATTTATGTTGTGGTGTTTTGAGGAACTTATATCTTGTGTGACATTATAGTAAACATTTCCCGTACAAATTAGGCCCCACCTTCTTACTGTAACCTTAACTGTGCTCCGAATGTGGAACTACTAAATGATAGAACTATTTCTGGGGATTAAAAGACATGTTTTATTTTTTAGATCAGCGAGTGCTCTGATATAATTTTTCTTCAGTGAAAGTACTCAATTATACCTTATCTTTAAATTCAAAAACACTACAATTTCATAAAGCCAGTTCTCCAAGACCTGTACTGTTAGGAGAATTTTTGCAATAGGAAATGAAAACACAAAGTCTTTATTTTATTACAATTCTTCAGATGGAAAAATCATGTGTTAGTCAATCAATTGGTGCATGTATCTACAGGGCCATTTTATGCATAAAGTGAACCGAGCTCTTTTACTTCCTAGCCTTTGTTTTTATTATCTGCATATATATATGTATAAGTTTGTTTTTATTTGTACATCTTTAACTTAATCTTATCGTGTTGACATAAATTTATCTTGTAAAAACTAATTTATGATGCTGTGCTCACCTTTTCAGTAGCTGATTTATAACATCCATTAACCCTGTGACAATTTACCTTAGGACAAGTGCAGTTTTCTCTGCATCCTAATCCAAATGTTGGATATTTACACGCTACACACAGAAAAAAAACATCATAAAGATAGTGTTCATGTTTGTTTTCTTTATGGCTAAGTTCAAATAATTAAACTTACGCAAACATATATTTTCTTCTTCAATGTATTTAAATCCTCGACAGCACATCAGCGGACTGTGAAAAAAATCATTCTATTAATATATTAAATCAATTAATAAACTTTCTGAACTCACCAAATCGTGATCGTTATCAATAGATCCCCCTATTTTCAAAGGTTGTTTTGGATAACAATAAACGAAGTCAAAGAAAATAAAAAAAATATTTTCTCTATTATTGAGTAATGCATCATACATATATCCATTTTACTAGTCAAAGTTGTTGTTGTTTACTTTCGTTAGTTATTTATAAGTTTAATAACAACATGTGCATGATATCAATAGCTGTACATGTAAGGGGCCAATTACATAATGCATGTCAGTGCAATTTGACAAAACAAAACTAAAACAAGTGATGTAAGTTGATATAAATATCTCTACGATAAAAAAGTATGTTAATCCTTTATACATACCCGTCACATCGACCATCTTGACCACTGGTCGTTATTAAACAAATACACGTGACAACAATAAATTCCATTAATGTGAACATCGTGAATGATAGGTATATGTCTTGTCATCCTACATTTCCATTTGATATAAGCAGGAAACATACATTGTATTTATAAACTTCGTGTAGATAAATTATGTCGATTTTTATTATTTTCTAATTCACAATTGAGGAACTCTGCAATAAGGAAATCCTCTCTGATGTTGATCCATCAGATCAGATTTCATTATCTTTTCTTCAAACTTTGTGAACTCAATTATCCTCAGTTACTCAATGTATAATTAAATCTTTTTGTTTTATTAAAGTTTTCATGATCTACAGAGAAGTACTGTGCATTTACTCTAAAGTAAACTATATAAATGATTTGTTTTATTTCAGCATGAGTATTTTCTTCTTTTCAAATAAATGTATTCCACTTTTCAATTTCAAGTTCATAGAAGATATATTCAAAATTAATTTCGAACTGACAATTTAATTGAAGCTTAGCTGGTTAAGCTGGAAAATTCAACGAAGGTTTTAAATGAGTATGGATCCGTTTGCTTGGAGCCTCATGAAAAAACAGTGCATTTAGTTTTACTCATTACATGTAATTGTTTGCTCAGAAAAAAAACATTATGAACAAGTCATAAAATCTTGAATCCTTTCAAATGCGGTAACTATGTTTAACAGTTTTGTTTATCTCTTCAAATAAAAAAATCTCTGCATTTGAGTTAAGACTAGATGCTTTGATTGGAGTTTCTACGCAATTTAGCTAATAAAACGCAAACATACAATATCAGATGCAGAAAAATAAGTTTTCTTGATACACATCGTTTCATCCTCTTTCATCGCTAGGTTATGAGGTCGAATCTCGCCATGACTGACCTTATTTGAAAGGAAATGGTAAAACCGAAGATCTGTGTCACGACAGGCATTAGATCGATAAATATCCCTTATTGTTCAATCACCCTGAGTGACGAGAATACTAGGTAAAATAAATGTCCTTTCATCGGTACATGTATATAGTGACCAATCAAATTTGACAATAATTTTCGTTGTTTCGATGTTTTCGAGTTGAAGGCAACAGCAAGTGTTTTCTTCTTTTCAAGCATAAGATTTTGCACAAATCTTCAAATGAATACAAAAAAGGTCTGCTAGTAACTGGGGGCAATTGGTACCCATGGGAATCCCAATTGATTGTTGGAAGACCTGGTCTAAAAAACACTTATATAGTGTTATTCAGAAACTCAAGCATTTTTACATCAAGTTTGAGGGTACTTGTGTGTACGGCAGAATGCGTTTCAAGAATATAATTTTACAAAAGACAAATGACAAGGAAAGTTGATATAAGAGTTCCATTTTTCATTAAAAAATGCAGCTGCCAGTGATATCAAAAAGGTAGGATTTCAATTTATAATGGGGAAAGGATGTGTACAATGTTGGAAAGTCGAAAATTTTTAAGCTGTTGATTTTTTTCTAAAATCTTCTGATTTCAAATTGTCTAAATGTTCCTTGGAATTTTTAAGTATCCACATCTTTTTTACACCATTTCTTGAATATATTGTCTTTAAGTTCCACCTTCACTATTGTTCTGAAAAAATAAGGGTGGTTTTCTTTGAAGCTTACTGTTCTGTATAAGCAATGCAGAAGGGGAATGTGGTGGGCGGAACGACATGTATTTGGCGATCTGTATTATCCCTGTATACTGTCTTGTATTAGACAATTATTCTTTATCTTAAATACCACATGGTCAAAAAGTAATATTAATTCTGATTCAATTTTTAAAAAGCAAATATAAATAGTACATTCTGATATATTCCTATTATTAATTTTGGAGAAATATTTCCCTGGGAATGAAAAAAAAATTCTTCACTTTTTAAAACTTATTCCTCACAGAATCTACACGTACTTTCGGTCCAAACTAAAAGTTGAATTAGCAATAATAGAAAACATCCTTTCTCGTCGAACAAACTCGTACAAGTCCATTTTTGCGTTTTATTTTTAAAAACTAAAAATAACAATTTTATCAATAAAGATGGAAATGTTTTCATAGCAGTTTTATTCAAAAATCAAAATTTCAACCATATACTGTTGAGTAAAAAAGAGTAATTCAGATTTAACCAGGGATGTGTCTCACTTACAAATCTATAAACTTGAATTTCATATCAACATTGCCATTCAAAGCTCTTTGGTTTGTAACTTTGCTTTCGAAATATTGTTCTTCAGTGTTTTGTCTATTTTTCTCAAATAAAATAACGAGTTAAGTTACTCGAATTGTCATTCCAACTACCTACAGAATACATTTCGAGGCAATCTTCTCCTGTAAGTGCGTTCGGTTCCCCTTTATACCAGTTTGTTAAGTTCAAGTTTTTGTATGTGTTTTTCAGTAAAATATGTCCTCAGAGTATTCATCTGTTCCCCCGATCTACCAATTATTCCAGAGACTGCAAATTTACAGAATATGTGTAGCTAACTGACATGTAAGTAAAATATTTAATGCATTAACGTGTTCTTAATTGTAATATTATTTTCATTAGTAACAGTACATGTGTTTTCTTTTTGTTTCCTTTTTCAGTAGTTCCGCCGAAATATGGCTAAAATATTACCGACTCGGCTTTAAAATACAAAAATCAATCAATCAGTCCTTTTTCAGTAAAAAGGAACCATCAATGATTAATGTTTTCCCCTTGTCTGAATAATTAAGTCTTAATTGATTAATTAAAAACTTTAATCAATCAAGAACAGCGGATTAATGTTATGTTTTTCTCCAATCCAAGTTTGTTCTGCTTAAGTTTTTATTGCCAGAAGATTTGCTCTCATCGAAATGCAGCTATCCTGAGAAGAAAAACATAAAAGAACACATCTTTTAGAACATCTATCTTTTAAAAAGATATAGATCGGATATTACAGCAAAAAGAACTGACTTCTCTTTTGATGCTTATGAACAACATTCTTGCATTTTGTTAACATTTTATGAAGCGCAATAATGGGTTATCCACGGTAATTTTTATACATATTATGGAGACCTGCCAAGAGAGTGAATTGCTTACAAGGCAATATCTTGTGTTCCCAATAACCTGCCATGATAAAGGAAATTCTAAATTAACATTACTCTATTTTTCAGTCAGAACTGTTTGTGTCAAAATTACCCATGCAATAATATGACCTGAAAAAAATTAATATGAATCTAAATTTTAGTCCGTATTCATGTATCTTATGATAAAAAGACAGCTGATTTTCAAATCCGTAGGGATGGTGCATTACTAAATATTTAAATCTAATTAAGTAAATTCTATTACTTTTTAATGAAGATTTCTTTAAGATGTTTGATAATTGATTGAGTCGAATTTAATCTAGATTAAAAGCAGTTCTGCGTTCTTCTTTTCTGATTACAAAACGCATTAAAAATTTCATGAGAACAAAATGCAGTCAATACAAAATATATTGCTTTTAATTACAATTCTGTGTACATAATGGTTTTCCGCTAGTCAAAGTGGTGCACTATCCACTACAAGATGTCTCACAAGATCTAGTCAACTCCTGTAAAAATCATCTTTAAACACATTCACTCAATTTTATTTGAAATTTTAAGAATTCTTATTTATTACAATGAATTCTTATTTCCTTTGAATCCCTTAAAAAAACTTCAAATTTTAAAATCATATTTGACACTATAATAAATTGATGGATCTTTAGACATTTTGTTTGTTTGATTTATTCTTGCCCTTTTCATGCCAGAATCTATATTTTCTGCGACAGGAATCCCTTTTTATACAGTTTTTATACAGTTTCAAATTAAAGACTATAATAATTAAATGGAAATGAACAGCATTATTCAAGATAAAAAGTCCATTTAGCAATGCAAAATAGGAGCAGAGCAAACCTGGACCTTCAAGGGATCAAAGGTAGGATCAGGTGCAATGGAGAAGGGATCATCCCCTGCCGACCTTTCACATCTGTCGTGTACTCCTTGCTATTATCGGGATACAACGGAGAAACCCGTTTTCAATTCAGTGAACAACAATTAGTATGAAAAACGTCAGTCAGCATTTGACTCAATGATAAATTGTATTTGTTTACAAGGTTATTGTACCGATCATAGAAATTACAAAATTACGACTTAAAACGAGACTTCTGAATTTCTTGTTTCATCAACTTGTTTGTCAATAATTCACATCGTTTTAGAAATTGTCCATACGTTGAACAAACTTTTGCGTATCGAATGAATTGAGATATATAATCTCCGTATGCGGTTGATGAAGGTATTTTACTGCATCAGAGAAGGAAGTTGACGATTGTTATATTCAATTCATCACGTTTATCATGGAGCTTACTTGTTAAAATACAAGGAACGTTTTTTTTCAAATAATATATGCGAATATGAAACGTGTTCAAATCGGTGACATCTTGTATTTCAAGTTCATCCGGATATATCGTATTGAAATAAGAATGGAAATTACTATGATTGTTAATTGACAATACCTTGTCGATATATCTAAATATTGAAGGAGACAGCAAGTGTTTTTTATTCTTTTTTTTTGGTAAAAATTCTGTTTCATGCAAATACAAAAATAGGTCTGCTAATAGCAAGGCCCAATTGGTACCCATGGGAATCTTAATAGAATGTTGGAATATCTGGTCTCCAAATCCACATAGATACTTACAATCAGGAACTCAAGCTTTTTTTATGTCAACTTCGAAATCAAAAGTGAAAAATTCTCCAGAGGGACGTTAAACAATATACAATCAATCAACAGAGTACTTGTTTGTACAATCAGAATGTTTTAAACAAAATGATTTTGCAAGTGACAATGACAAGGTAAGTAAATTCACGAGATCCATATTTTTTGAGGTAGCAGTTGTCAATGATATCAAAAAGCCTCGATTCAAATTTATCCTGGAAAATGGTCGCATATAATGTTAAAAGTAAGAAATTTCTATGCTAAGGTTCCTTGGCATTTCTTAGTATCCACATCAGATTTTCACCACTTCTTGAATATATTGTTGCACAGTACTCTTGAAGATTTATATTCACTATTGTTAATATTTTTGTGAGAAATAAAGAAGAAGGATTGGTTAAACATTCACTGGAACCCGCTCTGTATCTTAGTATC